CCCTCCCCGGGTTACTCGCCCTTCCCGGCTGTGATGGGCCCCGGTTGCCCGGACTACAGCTCCCGGCGCTCCCCACCGCCCTCCCCCGGGCCGTTTCCCCCGCCCTGCCCGCCAGGCCGCTTAGTTAATCGCCGAACCGAGCCACGGAACCGGGGACTACAGCTCCCGGCGTGCCCGGAGAGTTCGGCAGGTCCCCGGGCTGCTGTGTCACTGCAGGGGGACAGAGTGACGGCGGGGGAGTGGGCAGGTCACTGCCAGCTGGCTGATTCCCTTACTGCCTATTCATCCCTGCCGGTTAAATTTTAAGGCAGGAGCTGTGCCTAGGCAGTGCTGGGTGGAAGGCCTTTCTGGAGCGGGGTGGAGAGTGGAGTTATCTTTTGCGGCCAGGACTCCCTCGCAGCCAGTTTATTCTTTTAACTCTTGGTTGACTTTAGGTCTGACTCCAGTGACCTCCTTCTGGTTTGTTCTGGCCTTATTAAGACAAGAGCTGGGCTCTGAATTTGGGTCCCCCACGCCAAGCCCAAGGAAGCTATTCACCAAGCTGCTGGGAAGTACTAGCATAAGTAATTAAAACAAAATCAAGATAAATGAGAAGTGTCCTGTGATGCAATCCCTTTATCATTTCAAATGGCGTGAAACCCAACCAGCGTGCCCTGTCCCACCCCTCCCGCCCTGTTCTGAGGGACTGATGAGTATTAAAAATAGACGTTGGGGCCTCTGGGAGTAAGAGGGAAGGGTGAATGTGGTTTTCAGTAGCTGTGACACTTACAGATACGTTATTTCCCAACTCTTTATACAGCTGAGGCCTGTAAAAGCAAAGCCAAGTGATACCAACACAAGGATGCTGAGGAGGAGGAGGAGGATGTTCCTGTGGCCGCAGGGCCGGTTTGGCTCACAAAAGGTCCTGTCTGCGTCAGCCTTTCTTTGTGGCAGCACAGAAGCCCCTTTCTCTGGGACTGTAGGTTCCCTGTCCGCCAGAAGCAGCGAGCCATTGTCCGTGACACAGGCACATGTGCGGTGACTTGTAGAAGGGGCCTGAACCCCAAACCGTGTCATGGAGGGGTTTCAGTCCCCTTCTGCCCACCCACTTTCCAAATTGATTGGAAACCAAACCTGAAAACAGCCACGGTGTGATGGAAACAGGGAGTTTTTTGCTGTCACATCTCCAGCAAAGCACCCCTTGGATTGCAATCCTGGGGACATGTTGGGATCTCCCCAGCAGACTTTTGTTTTTGTTTTTTTTAATCCTTTATAAATACCTGGGTCTGTTGATAAATAAAATCAGGGAGTCCCTGATAAGCACTGAGTGAGCAGGTTAAACCCCCCCAAAGCCTCAATGCAAGGCAGTCCTCATCCTCTGTGGAGGAAAAGCAACACTAACCCCAGCAGAGATAGGAGGGACCGAGTTTAACCAAGGTCCCGCTCTCGCTGCGCAGAAGGAGGGAGAAATCTTTGTTTCCCTCGCCCTTTGTCCAGCTTTTCTGTTTAAGCTAAAGATTCCTCAGGCCTGGCTCTCACCCCTGAGCAGCAGGGTTCTTGCTTTTAGCTGTGACCCCTCTGACTATTTATTTATGTTACTTTCCAGCTCGTTAGGAAAAATTAAGCCAAGGAAAGCACACGGGGGATGGAAGGAAAAGAGCCCAGCCCAAGAACCCCGTTTGCTGGGTCACGGTGGAGGTTCTCATCTTGCAAATGGTTTCATCTGTGCTTAATTTAATCGCAGGTGCTCAGCTGGGCCGGGCTTGCACCCCTCACGGCCGGGAAGAACATCCCCGCCGGCACCTGAGGCCCATCACCCTGACAAGGAAATCCCCAGCACCTGGAGTTTCGCCCGGTTTAGTCCGAAGCTGGGACGCGTTTAGTAGCGGCGCTGGGGAGCGGAAGGAGACCGAGGTGATGATTTACTCATTTGGTGACTTAGTCACCCCCCTAATTCCCCCGAGTCTCCTCTGCAGACACACAAAGATTTTCCTACATGCTTAATTTTGCGCGCCATGAGTAATCCCGGTACCTCCGACCTAGGCTGTGCGGAACAGGGTATTTCGGCAACAAAACATTAATGTTTTGCCTGTTCTGTGGTAGGTGAAGGGGGTAGCGCGCCCGGGACAGGCGGCTGCTTGGGCACGCAATGCTCCCGATACATTTATTTTCATGCTTTTTTTTTTTTATTAAAGCCTGGTGTCCCTCTCCTGCAACGTGTTCAGCTGCAGGTGGGATGTGGAGTTTTGGGGATGCTGCTACACGGGTTTTCCGTGGGTTTAGAGTGGGTTTACATGGGGTTACACCTATTTTACATGGGTTTACAGTGTTTTTACATGGGTTTGCATGGGTTTACATCATTTTACGTGGTTTTACAAGGGCTTACGCTAGTTGTAAATGGTTTTACATGGTTTTACATAGGTTTTACAGGGGTTTACACAGGTTTACATGAGTTTTACCTGGGTTTACACAGGTTTTGCATGGCTTTACATGGCTTTTACCTGGGTTTACACAGGTTTATATGGGTTTTACATGGGTTTTGTATGGGTTTACACAGGTTTATATGGGGTTTACATGGTTTTACACAGGTTTATATGGGTTTTACATGGGTTTTGTATGGGTTTACACAGGTTTATATGGGGTTTACATAGTTTTACACAGGTTCACACAGGTTTTACATGGGGTTTGCATAGGTTTTAATGGGTTTACATGGGTTTTCACAGGTTTCCATGGTTTTACATAGGTTTACATTGTTTTACATGGTTTTACAAGGGTTTATGCTAGTTGTAAATGGTTTTACGCTGGTTTTACATGGTTTTACACAGGGTTTACCTGGGTTTACACGGGTTTTACCTGGGTTTACATGGATTTACGTAGGTTTTACCTGGGTCTACATGGGTTTTACATGGGGTTACACAGGTTTACGCAGGTTTTGCATGGGTTTACACAGGTTTACATGGCTTTACATGGGTTTGCCTGGGTTTTCACAGGTTTTACATGGGTTTACACAGGTTTTACACGGGGTTTGCATGGCTTTTCACGGGTTTTACATGGGTTTACATTGTTTTACATGGTTTTGCAAGGGTTTACGCTAGTTGTAAATGGTTTTATGCTGGTTTTACATGGTTTTGCAAGGGTTTACGCTAGTTGTAAATGGTTTTATGCTGGTTTTACATGGTTTTGCAAGGGTTTACGCTAGTTGTAAATGGTTTTATGCTGGTTTTACATGGTTTTACACTGGGTTTACCTGGGTTTACATGGGTTTTACCGGGGTTTACACGGGCTTTACCTGGGTTTACATGGATTCACGTGGGTTTTACCCGGGTCTACATGGGTTTTACATGGGGTTACACAGGTTTACACAGGTTTTGCATGGGTTTACACAGGTTTACATGGCTTTACATGGGTTTGCCTGGGTTTTCACAGGTTTTACATGGGTTTACACAGGTTTTACACGGGGTTTGCATGGCTTTTCACGGGTTTTACATGGGTTTACATTGTTTTACATGGTTTTGCAAGGGTTTACGCTAGTTGTAAATGGTTTTATGCTGGTTTTACATGGTTTTACACTGGGTTTACCTGGGTTTACATGGGTTTTACCGGGGTTTACACGGGCTTTACCTGGGTTTACATGGATTCACGTGGGTTTTACCCGGGTCTACATGGGTTTTACATGGGGTTACACAGGTTTACACAGGTTTTGCATGGGTTTACACAGGTTTATATGGCTTTACATGGGTTTGCCTGGGTTTTCACAGGTTTTACACGGGTTTACACAGGTTTTACACGGGTTTTACATGGGTTTACACAGGTTTACAGGGTTTTACATGATTTTACACGCTTTTACACTGGACCCCTCCATTTCCAGTGGCGAGCCCATTGCCGGCCCTCCATCCC